TCTTACGCGGCAAGAGGGAGACTTTGATAGGACCCAGGAAAGGACTACGTAACAATATGACAGATTTTGGGGAAGGGGGTGAGAACGCCACATGGAGTGTGAAGGGTTTTCATGGATGCCGCTCGAAGAGCACACCACACTACATCAAAATAAGCACGGTAAAATTGTGACAGGGAAGGTGTGATAGGATGCTACCGGAAACGCGAATAACCCAGGGCTGAAGGGGAGATACCATAATTATTTAGCATACGTTTGGTCAAAGGATCGGCTTCACTTGTCTCTTTGATGAATTGTTGTGTGGTGCTAAAGATTGCGATACTCACTGACGATGCCGGCGAAACGTTTGAAAATTTACCACGTCCACGTTTCAATTTTGGAAATGATCATGTAGACAATGGACTCCGGACTAGGTGCATTCCTCTAGGTCTTCCTACTAATATGACCAAGTTGCGAAAACAAGGTCAAACGACTTCTTTACAACGAAAGGAGACTGCGACCACACAAAAGGCCACACCATCTTGGTCTTCATACCTTCTTAAGTCTTTCTGTTGGGTCTCTCAGTAAAGGTCTATGCGTGTCATTGTCATTTAAATGAACTAGCGTTTTTTCTACATAACTTGACTTACCCATGACTGCCACTGCTCCACCTTGGTCGGCTTTCGTTATGATTAGATTACTATTACACAGATATCTAGAAATCTTACTAAGATGAAAATCTTTCTTAGGCAGTATTATATGGTCAAAATGAGGGATCACCTCCAGTTCAATAGTATTCCTTACCTCTTCTGGCAATCTATCCAATAAGCTAATTAATTCAACAAGTGTTTCCAGAAATTGGTTTACCTCATTTGGAAGATCAATTTTCCATCATTTTTCCAATAAGACTTCCACACTATCCTTCAGATTTATTCTCGATAAATTGATTACCTTATCCTTCCCCACTTTGTTTTCGCCATTTGGTCGTACTTTCAGGGAGCTATGAGAACGCATTTTTTACTGAGTTCTCTGCCATATTAGCCATGATAATTTCCAGCGTCGGACCATGGAGATTGCACATTCTCATACGTTTATCCGGCATCGTCAGTTACCATCTCCAGTCCTAATAGCAAACTATAACTCGTCAACAAGCCAAGTAAAGTCACTTCCTCTGCCAACTTTATTCTGAAAACTAGTTTTATCTCTACCTACACTATAAAAACTCGAAACTTATTTATTTAGAGATTTATTTACCATACTTCGTTAATGTGATGAAGGACTGGAGGCTGAATTTTTCCACAATAATATTAGTAGATCTTGATTTTTCATATTCTCGCTTCCCAATAGATCTTCTTATTCAGATTGTACTGCAGGTTAGACCTTTCCTTAGTTTCCTAAGCACTCCTAGCGGGACTTGCATTGTGATAGTTCAGCGTATAATTACACCATTTTACTCACTACTCCACATCGCCACCAGAACCTTTAGGTCACTGGACAGATGTGAATTTCATCCTCCCATAACACATTCTGTAATGGAATTTCGATGTTACAGTCCTTTATCACATCTCATACGTATGATCTAATGGCAATCGCGAAAACCTTCTTATACAAGAAAAATAATTAGCTATTTACTACAGCGAATATACCCTTTTCATCAACAATACCATAACAGAATGTTATATGGAAAAATGCTTGGCCGTCCTTATTAGTCACACCTGCATCGTGATCAAAGGCACTCGCAGCAGTGTGACATAGTAGTTAACGTCTCTGGATTATACGCATCAGTGACATGATTCGAGTTTCGCTGGGGTGCTTTGAAAGCCGTCTCTAACTCGTTCATTTAGAAATTAGCCAACAGAATGGAGGTTGGTAAAGGAATTGGCAGAACATTTCTTTTTTTATAGATACCTCTTTACAGCCTCTTTTAGAATTCACTCAATGTCTACAATATCATCGAGCTTACTTCCATTTCGAGTGAAAGTGTTTGGTGAAGAGTTTCGAAGGTCGAGTCCATCAGAAGACGACGGCGGATTCCTCTTGACCAGTTTTACTGAAACATTCATGGTGACGCTGTTTCCGAGGTAATCTCCTTCGATTCCGCTGAAAAATGCTGAGCTTTCGTCCGTCATATAAAGAACATCATCATACCAAGGTAGCATCGTCACAACCAAATTCAAGCTAGCGAATCAAGAAACAGAGTATATATACAGATTTATACGGATGTTCCGGTGAGTTTTCTTGACACGTTAGCTTGAATTCGGTTGGTACGATGATACCTTGCTTTGATGATGTTCTTCATATGACGAACGAAAGTTTAGCACCTTTTCATCGGAATCGAATGAGATTATCTCGGAAACAGCGTCACCATGAATGTTTCAGTAAAGCCTATCGACAGCTGGTCAAGAGGAATCGGTCGTCGTTTTCTGGTTAAATCAACCTTCAAATCTCTTCACCAAACACTTTCACTCGAAATGGAAGTAAGCCCAACAATTATTAAACAAGAGATTCCTCGAGACCCAATTTTTCTTTGCATACAATATCGTCCCCTCTTTCGAAAGTATTTATCAGTGCTTTGGGCGCTTTCTCTCTTGAGTTGTTGTTATACAATGACTGCACATCTAAGTTGTGTACTTCAAATCTAATGGCTTTGAGTCTTTGAGAAAATGTCTACGAAGTTTTCCCTGAATTATAAAGTCTTTATTCACCTTCTGTAATTTATAAAAGATGAAATTAGCTATTTTATGTGTTTTTCCTTGCTTATTGTTGACTCTAATTCTCATTGGTTTTTCTACTTTTTGCAGCTTCGTAAACTTCATAATAATGGTGATATTGCATCCTTTCGTAGTAACAGCTTCATTAATTATTTGCTGATTTCCCTATCTTATTCATTTCTTTCAGTATTTCTTGCAGTGCTCTTTTAGTTTTAGATGTTGGCATCTTTGTTGGCAGCCAATAAGCTGTTATGTCACCTGACCTATCTTACATTTTCCTCGTATATTTTATTCTTTTCATAACCACATTGGCACCTTCTTTGTATGGTTGTAGAATTATTCTGTCACTTCTTTCCTATTTTCTATATATCCTTGCTACACCTTTCTACTTATGGGTATTGGAGCGCCATGTTGATTCTTCCGGTAGTTTCTCATAGCCATTTATGGAATCCAATAAAAATTCTTTTATTAACTTTCTTTAAATCTAGTATGCAAAATAAAATCTTTTCCTGATACTCCCTGTGATTTCGAAATCGAGAGCGACGAAAGGGCTGCTAGATTCGTTCTTCTATAAGAATCTCCCTTTCACTGGATAGTTTAACATAGGCTGCCTATAACTACCATATTAATGCAGTTTATGCGGATACCCCTTTCCGATTAAGTCAAGAGATTATTTTCGACATCCTGTTTGTGATAATTTATAGGTTACGGAAATCCTTAGACATTGGTATCCTTCTTAGCCCATGTCTGAGAATAAAAGTAAATTAGAAGACCTAAATAACTTGCTCCTCTTTCTCTCATATTTATGCTCTACCTACTACAAAGATGCATGTCAGAATGATATTTTTTATTAAGTTTGGTTTGCTGAAATCAATGTATTATCTAGCAATATTTCCTTAATAATTAGATAGCAGATATAAAGACCATGATAGTATTGTCGTTGGTTTCATACCAGTAATCTTTAGCTTTATTGACTTGGTTTGACCTCGTTTAGCAATTTTATTGGGACGACAGGGGACTTTTTAAACCACGCTCAGTATTGCGTCTTCTGCCAAAGTATCCATGCCAATTTCTAGCATCGGACCGATGACTTAATACATTACCATACGTTTTACTAGCATTCTAACACAATTAAAACTTGTGAAGACCATTTTTTTTCCAATTTTATGTTCAACCCTTGGGGCATCTCATCTCTCCCAGTCCCAATATTTAGCGCTATAGTCGTATTCCTCTCTTTGCTAAAGCCACTTAAAGTGACACACTCTTAACTGAAAATAGGGCAAATAAGGACACAGCAAGGTAGATGTTTGATGATTAGGGATACTGATTTAGAAACTAAAACATGAGGTAAGAGAAATGCCACTAGGGTTAAACGGAAAAGTTGTCAAGAATATTTCCTTAACTCGTCACTTTTATAAACAATTACTATGTGCTAAGGATTTTGCCTCTCAGTGAATGTGTCTACGAAAAGCCTGGAAAAGTGCCAAGTCATCGGTACGATGTGGGAAAATTTTGTGCAAGCTATGACTGAAGATGCAAGACAATAGGTATGTTCCCCAGGTCTCCTTGTAGCTAGGAGAACGAGGTAAAGCCAATAATACACAGGTAAAGGCAACTCCGACTAAACGTTAGGCCAAATAATCTTATAGTCGTATTTGAGTAGGGTTTGGAGACCTTAACCTTCATATCTACGACTTCATAAATAAACTTTTAACTTTGTAAATACCTGCGAATTCTAAGAAGGAAACATATTTACTTCTAGCTGAACGGAATTCGGACTTTCTTTAATTTTTAGAAATTGTACGCTCTAAACATTTTTATTTCAAAATTTCTTATTTAAGAAATTTTTATAAACTTGGAAAAATGTGAATTATTTACTCAATTACTCTTCCTATAATCGCTAATTAATAAGTTCATTTTCAAGCTTTTGAAAAAAAAAGAATATATATATAATCCCTAGAGTGTTTCAACCTGTATTCACAAATAAATTTTATCTGTAGACTATTCTTAATTTGGAAAAGATTATTATATGTCCATTCTTTAATGTAGCTCTGAATCTAATAATAGCATAATATCATGTTTGTAATGGTCTTAAATTTCCAGTTAAGGAACAGGAATAGAAGTGCAATTTACATGAGTCTCCCTATTTTAGTCACTTTTGAGTGTAGGCCAAATGATCATCATTTAAAAGATGGAGTGATTTTCGGTATTTTAATTATGAATAAGGATAGGAAAGTATAAAGTATTAAAGTAAGCATTTGTAATATCCTGCCATCCCTGAAATCGAACACATTTTTGGATAAAATGGAAGAAGAAAAGCTTTTATACTTGTCCACATATATATCTTCTCACCTATTCTGTTTATACAAATTAGTCTACTTTTGTAAAATGTTTCGTTTACTTGCCTATATATTTTTGTGATCGGGATGCTAGATATATTACTAGATTATACAATACCAGGGACCAATAAATTGTGCAGCCACTGAGGGGACATATACAATCAATTTGACGACCAGGCCTCTTTATTTATACACAATTACAGTTGGTAAGAAGCCAAGAGAACTGCTATTATAAAGGTAAAGTATAAGCTCTAAACTTGACAATGGAAAATATGAATGCGTCAAGGTCAAAATATAAAGAAAAATTCAATTTCGAAGAATTTCTTAGTGATCTATTGTGACTTGACTTCTCTTTTCGAAGAAAAAGTTGGTTTGAAGGAATTCGTGATGTAGTCTCACCGGAAACCGAAGGAAGATTGCCGCGTAGTAAAGACTGTTGAATTGTGCGAATGAGTCCTAGTCTGATCATCCTGCGACTCCGATGAAGCTGTACTAAGCTTTCGACTGTACCGTAACAGATATCGTCAGATCAGGAAGCCATATTTCACTAAATAGAGTAATAATATATTAAACCGTGAGAAAAGGTGGACGGCTGAAATCCTGGTCACTTTGTATACACCTAAGTTCGCGATCTTAATGAGGCATCGCATGATTTGTCTGGCTACCTCAATCTTAATCTCCATGCTTTCAGATGAGTGGAGTTACTTCCTGAATCGGAAATGCGCTTGGTGGCAGCTGTTTACTTAATTAAATAAACTCGCGTACGATCCCCTAGAGTGGGATCATGTTTGGACTTGTACTGTTGTCTATTGTGTGCATGGAATATTCATGCCATGGAAATTGTGGTAGTCCTGGCTTGACTTGAGGATAATCTAGCCTAATTATCTAGATCAGTGGCTCTTCCAGCTCGCTCTTTATCTTCTCCTTAAGAGGAAAGTTTACCAGAGAATA